AGGCCGCCCCGGTTGCCATGGCTGGGCTCGCTGGCTGCCCGCTCCACGGGCACCGGTCTGCATAGGTTGAAAACCGCCTGCTGCCCCTACGTGTCCCGCCCGCCCCAGGCGTCCCGGGGGAGGCTCCGGTGACCACTCCCCCTTTGCTGACGGGCCACTGGGCTCACATTCCAGCATGAGCATGGCAGCCAGGCCTGGGCTTGGCACCCCTCAGAAAACTGCCTGCCCCTCACCCTACAGGGGGCCAGACTGGAGAGGCACACTGGCTCTGCCAGCCCTGATCCACTGTGACCCACTGTGCAATGAAGGGGCTGGGAGTTTGGTTCCTGAGCCCTCACCTCAGATAGTCTAGAATCCCGCAGCCCAGAAACTGCCCTTATGCAGGAACCCCAGAGAGAGCGAAGACTCCAATTGGAGGGAGGGTCCGGAGGAAGCGAGAGGAACAGTATGAATGGGAATGTGGGTGGGTCAGGGTGGGCAGACAAGTCCTGCAGTTTTGTCCTCAGCCCAGATCTCTGAGGCAGCTGGGGATGGCGATGACAAGATCCCTTCCCCACAGGGACTTGGAAGGAGGTTCCGGTGCCTGTCTGCGCTGGGCATCCCTTGTTCAAGGCTCCAGAGGCTTGGGAAGCCCGGGGCTGTTCTCTCCAAGTTACAGATGGGTCCTGAGGCCCGAGGCAGCCGCTCACAAGGGCGCTGTTCCCCAGGACAGAACCCCCAAGCCTCCCTCTGACCTGTGCCCCCATACCTTGTTCCACCAGCTTTTGAGGCCAACCTCTTCCCAGGGGCCCCCATGGGGCAGAAAGGCAGCTTCGGGGCCCAGGCGGCAGGAAGCGGGGCAGGCAGGTGCTCGTGGCCAGGGCCGGTGGGTCCCCGCTGGCAGCCAGAGAGAGGCCCAGAGCAGACTCCAGGCTCTTGGCTTAAGGCTGGGTTCTGGGTCCTTGGTCAGCTGGGTGGGGGGCTGCAGGGTGGCAGGACCAGCGCGCTGGAGAGAGCTTGGTTTTTGTACCCGAGGCAGGACTACAGCAAGACGCCCAGGACCTGCCTGGTGCCGCTCACCTGCCCTGGGCAGGGGCCCTGGGGCACCAGTGGGCTTCAAGGGGGCTGGGGCACTGGGCAGTGTTCCCCAGCGGCGCCATGGTGGCCACGTGGCCCTCATCCTATCTCGAGCGGCCAGAGGGTGGGAGAGGCTGAGCCTTAGCACCTTCTGCTCTGGGAGAGAGTTCTTGGGGGGCTCTGGGCTTGGGGGCTCAGGCTCTGCTACTGGCCGGGGGTTCCCGGGGGAGGCCTCTTCTTTGGGCTTCTCAGGGCTGGGGCTGGCCGATTTGGTGAGCTCTCCAGGCCCCGGGTCATGGTGTCTCCCCAGGAAGACGCCAGTCACGGCAGGGTCTGCGTCCTCCAGCGGGGAGTCCCGGGACGGCCCGGGACCCAGGTGCTGGAGAAAGGGGTTCTCGGGTATAGGCGGTGGCCTGGAGAAGCCCCGGCGGCTGCCTGCCCGGCCTGGCCACGGCGAGGATGGGCGCTGGGGCTGAGGC